TTTTTTTTTTTTTTTTTTTTTTTTTTTTATTGAAAAATCGGTAATTGTACAAGTTTAAGTTTATTTCGGCAACGTTGATTTCGTCGGTTTTTAGCGCGCGTGTTTAATCGTTTCCCGAACGCGTTGAATTCACAGCCCCGATTGTTTGTTAACGCGATTGCGCATCATTTGCACGGGCGGTCGTCGGACAGGACGCGTCGCGATAACGAGTGGGCCGTCCCACCGGACCGGCACCGCGGTCGTCACAGCCATTGCCGCCTCGCGGGCGGCTCTTCGTCGCGCGTCGCCCGGTCCGCGTCAATCCGCGTCGGCCCTGTACACCGCTAGGCACCGGTCGTCGGCGTCCCCGGCGTCCGTTCGGCAACCGAACGCGCCGCCGTCGGGCCCGGGTGACCGATGACGCGATTTCGGACAGTTGCAGCACGCGGCGGCGCCGGCCAGCGACGCCGACGGCGACGGCGACTGCTTGCTGTTGACGCCGCCCGACCCCGGGCCGTCTTCCTTCTTGTGCTTGACGCGCCTGTTCTGGAACCAGATCTTCACCTGTTTCTCGGACAGCCGCAGACAGTTGGCGATCTCGATGCGCCGCAGCCGCGACAGGTACATGTTGTTGGCGAACTCGCGCTCCAGTTCCAGCAGCTGGTTGCTGGTGAACGCCGTCCGAATTCTCTTCGAGCTCCCGGAGTCCGTGTCGCTCTCGCCGTTGTCCCGCAAAGGGTCCGCTCCCGAGCCGACCACGTGATCTGCAAAAGAGAAACGATAAAGCGCCTGTCATTTTTATCGTCCCGATATTTTTATTTTATCGTCCGGATAAATCGAAAATTCGTGGATCGAAAATAACGAAAGGCCGACCGTCCGGCCGTCTCTTTTTGAGTCTGTTGTTAAAAATTGGATTTCTTCGACTCCGTGATTTGTCGAAGAGATTTTTTTATCAATAAAAATAAAACTTATCCATACGGACAGGATATAAAAAAGGAAAACTTTATTGTTTTTCGAAATCAAAAACAAAAAAAAAAAAAAAAGCGGGACAATCGGAATTACTTATAAAACGTGATATAATCGAAAAGTAAATAGAAATTCTCCGAAACGCTCACATGCACCTTTGCCCCGAAAAAGGCCCGGCGACACGTTGTTCGCAACCTGTTTTTTCTAAATTCCCAGAATAATTTCTAAACAGTTTTGAATTTTAAATTTCGAACGTTGGTCGGGATACGAAAATATTTACCGGTTTCGTTTGTAAATTTATAGTTTTATTGAAATTTGAATTCATATTCACCGCCGAATTCCGGACTTTTCCGAGGGCATATTAAAATTACACGAGCGTACGTATTCGATTTTTCGCTTTTCGGTAATGGAAAAAGACTCGGCTTACCGACGGGTTCGTAGGAAGTCATCTCGTCCGCGGTCCTCTTTTTCGCCGGGTTCCTGCCGTGGTGTTTGTTCCTCTGGCCCGGTCCGGTGGCCACCACGGCGACGGGTTTGACGACCGTCGTGGATTCCGGTCTGGGATGGTATTTGCCGTACCCGGCTACGTCGCCGCCATCGCCCATGGGATAACCGAAATATCGCGGCCCGGCAACGGTCGCGGCTGCGGACGGGAAAGCGACGGACGCCGGCGACTGGTATCCGTACGCCGCGGCCGCGGCCGCCGTCCGGTTCAGGAACTGAATGTACTCGCTGAGCTGCGGGTGATACGGTACAGCCGCGGCGGCGGCGGCGGCGGCGGCGGCCGATACGGCGGGCCGATTGATGCCGCCAATAAGAGAATCGATCAGAAACGACCGGGACATGGTCTTCTTGGTGGAACAGGACGTGACCGCGGTGACCGGTGGCGTACGAGCGCTGTCCATCGCGGTCGGTGAGCGTAATAATAACGCGTTGAACAGTCGAACGCGGCGCGACACGGTTTTTTTTTTGAAATTAATTTCGAAGGGCTCGCGCGAACACGACGGCGACCAGCGTTGAGGTCTTCGACGAGGGTGTGCGGCACGGCGACTGAGTGTCTACCGGACGCGTCCCCGCGTCATCGGCCCCGGCCGAAGAGGGTCGTCCCCACCACGTCCACATGGCGGGCGCGGCCTACCGGTTTCTCGTGTGGCCACCACCCTTATTTGCAGAGGGTCTACCCCGCGCCGCGTTCTTGCGCGTCCGTGCTGCAGCGCATGTTGCTGCTGTTGCTGCTGCTGCTGCTGCTGCTGTTGTTGTTGTTGCTGTTGTTGTTGTTGTTGTTGTTTGCGTTGTCGTCGTTGTGCGTTTTTAAAAACCCATCCGACTAATTTTTCGCCCGTCGGCGAATCGATCCGCTCGCCACCCGCCGACCCCGCCGCCGATCAGTCGCAAACGCGCCGATTAATCACGTCTGGCGGGCGCGCGATCTTCGCCCCCTCCGCGTGCTCGCGCGCGACCAATCGCGACCCCCTGCCTCCCCACCCCCCCCTACCCGACCGCGGCACTCTTGGACGCGTTATTTTTCTCGCGTCCGACTGCGACCGGATGCGCGCACGGGCTTTCGCGGGAAAACCACGTAAACACACACGCTCGCGCGGGCGATAAATTGCGCATAACGAATTCGTCATGATCAAAACAGTCCGGTAATACCGCGCGAATTGTTGTTCACGCCGTTGACACCGCGCGAATATTCGAACGACATTACGGACGTGGTTGCGGGCCGTCGTTACGACGTCTCTCGGTAAACTGGCCGCGCTGACGTACGCGTGGGCACTCACCGCCAACAGTGTAATTCGATTATTTTTTTTTTTTCGTTTTCCAATGACGACACCGGCCGCGAACGTGCGCTGCACGTACTCTCGGCGCGGGAGGCGAACTTCGCGCAAAACCGCGAGCACAAATAGTCGAGTTTTCGGGGGGCGGGGATGGACGGGGGAGATCGCCAGATCCCCCTGCGCCGTGTACGCGATCGAAACGCGCGGACCGCGGGCGCCGCTGGGATAGTTTTCGATGGGTGGGGGGGAGGGAGGTGCATAGTACGCGCAAACTTCTAAATAACGTTTAAATTATTATTCAAGTTAAATTGTTTCGAAAAGAAACGGAAAACCGATTTAAATACGAGCGTGAGCATTCACGAACATGAAACTATGGTTTAAAAGACAGTCACGCGACAGGTTATTCAAGTACTATAGACACCAATGAACAAATTAAAAACAAAAAAAATTGCTCGTTCGCGAGTTGACTACTGGCGCTAATAATAATTAGATCGGACTGTTGAACGATTCTTATCCGGCTGTGGTCTCGACGTAATCCCAGATCGGTGCAACTCTTCCAACAACAGCGCGCGGTATATTTGAGACCAGTCAAGACCCCGAATAGAGCCAGTATGGGTAAGATGACCGATTTTCTGGATCGCGTACAATGAAAAAGACTAGCAGAGGATACCAAATTCATTGAAAACGCAATTAAGGAATTCGGAAAAAAAAAACCTAGGCGTTTGCAGTGATTATTTAAAAAAAAAATAAGTAATTCGTTGACAATCGTGTAAAATAAATATTATTTTCGCTACCGTAAATTTTTGTTTCGCAAAGCCAGGTGGACGCGATCGCGCCTGCTTGCGCCGCCTCACGGCGCCCATGGCGGGAACGTTAGGATCTAAAACAGGTCCGTAATATACCCAACACGGTTTTTCGAAAAATACTTTTTACGGGAGATCTCTCACGGGAGGCGACCGTCTGTCCTGCGTCCCACGTGCGCGCACTTATGAAATCGGCCGTTTTAAAATATTGACCGATTCGCCACGTACACAATACTTCGTGACGTCGTCTATTCCGTGTACGCGTTACGGAACGTGTCGCCTGTATTGTCAAACAAATTAGCGCAAACGAAAATCGCCCGCCAACAGTTAGACGTTAGAATGTTAGATCCAGCACGGTATAATGCACGTGATATTTATGGGCGTGTTGTAGCGGCGAAATTTCAAAATGCGTTCCGTGTTACAAGCTGGCCCGAGGCTTTCGTCTTTCCGACCGTTTTCAGCGCTGTAGCCCGTCGCGGTGTTACACTGTATTACAATTGTATGGTAATCGGGAGGAAAATCTGTGCCAGTCTGTGCCGTCGATGAAGCAACAGAGGTAACCGACCAACGAGGTTCAACAGAGATCCATGCGATATGGCGCGACTAATACCTGCAGTGCTAACATCGGCGTAACCCGGTCGTTTCCTTGAGGAGCGGTATGGATATTTAGAAAAAAAAAACATAACTTGTAATATATATATATGTATACTAAAACATACAATTTGATTAGCATTTAACATTAACAGTAAACGCAATAACAAAACATTGACAATGTGACACTGTCACAAACTACAAGACAACGGACGCAATATATGGTTAGGTCGCACAGTAGTGAAGAGAGGAGAAAACGAGATAGTGTGTTTTTATCAAAAAAAAAACTGTTTTAACTAGTACTTAATCCGGACGAATCCGAACACCGGATGGCTGATCGACCGAAATGTAACAATCAATATAATCCGGATTATTACGGAAATTTATTTAAAAATTAAAAAAGGTCACCGCGTTTTCGGTATTGTTTTCGTTCAAAAGTAAAAGACAAGCAAAAAATGTTTCCATATTTTATTTACTTTTTTTTCACTCCCGGTTCCGGATCATAATATATTGTTACAACTAAGGATTAAGCGTAGAGCCTAATCTAGATTCAAATTGTGTCTCTTCCCCTCTGTAAAAGAAAAAAAAACAACAGTTTGACTCGTAACGGCTCGGATAAATATCCATGGACCAGACAAACCCGTGGATCTTTATTGAATTCGGAATGAACCGGTCGTTTTTATCAGTTATCAAACGCTTCAAAAGTTAAAATTTTCGAATGTCCGTTGATAACGCGGCTCGTGCGGCCGAGGACCGGCTGAACACGTTTTCCGTGCGAAACTACGGCACGTGCGGCACGTATATTTGTCGGCATTACAGCGCGTTTTGCGAAATTAAAGGCTTGATTGAAGCGTGCCAGGTGACCGGAAATTTGAATTTTACAGCGTCGATACAACAAACGATAGTGTGTCGAGAAGTCCTATTTTCCGACCGATAGACAATCGAGTCTCCTATTCGATGTACATTCGATGAACATACCTCGCTGGATACCAACCACTGGAAGCCTTCCCCCCTCCACCATTAAATCTTAATCGGGGTCGCGTGTCGGCAATCCGGATTGAATCAATTATTCCGGATTAAACGGACGTTTCTTCTGAAAGACCCGAATTCCGGATCTGTCGAACTACTTCTGCTCGACGCATTATACAGTCCGAACGGAGGTCGCGTTTGCCGTCTCGTTTCGGCGAAAATCCCGGTAATATCGTTAAAATAACAATTCCGTCGACACAAGACGAAGCATTTTTTTTTTTTTTTTTTTTTTTTAATTTTTTTT